GGGACGCGGCCTCAGCATGGCTGGAGAAGCGGTGCGTCGGTGCGCGCCCGGGATCTGAACCCGGGCCGCCAGTAGCGGAGCGCGTGCACTTAACCGCTAAGCCACGGGGCCGGCCCTGTTTTTTGTTAATTGTTGTCATTCTTGCTTTTTCTGGTTGTCTGGGAGAGTAAGGGAGATTCAAAAACTATGCTGCTACCGTGATTCTCTAAGAGAAAATAGAACACAATGCCTGTGATAGAGTTGGATTTTTACTCGTTTGTTCTGTTGATTTGGTAGACTTAAATAAGAACATAGGCCTGACTGTTTAAGATGTATGGAGATTTTGAAATTTAATATGTTATTTGGGATGCAGAGAAGCATCCAAAATGCATTTGCATAAGTGAAAATAAAGCCCAAAAGTTTATGGAGGAAGACCACTGTTTTTGGCCAGTAGCCACTTAGGAGGCCTTTTTATCTTAAAGAGTTGATAAAAATGTAATTCCCTGTATTTCAAAATGTGGTCCAGTAACCAACAGCATTGGCATCATATGGGAGCTTTATGGAAATGCAGAATCTTAGATCCCCCCAGACTTACTGATTCAGAATCTGCGTTGTAACTAGATCTCAGGTGATTCCTATGCATGTTAATATTTGAGAAACCCTGATGTATTTACTCTCAAGTATGACTTTGGGCAATAGGACAAGTTGCCTTTTTAAGTGATTGATCACATTTACTGATGCTTTTAAAAAAGAGCGTAAATATAAAGACATAATAAAGTAACTTGTGCACCTGACACCCTAGAGGTAATGAAAGGATAAAAAATTTCTTAAATGTAGTCCAACTATAATATTGATAAAATTATTGTTAGGGCAATAATATTATATTTATGTTTGCAGTGTGCTAGCATATAGCAACTGTCTCTTTATTTACCATGTATAAAGAAGATCATTCATCTCTAACTTTACTATTTTGATTGATGTTAAGTTAAAAATAGTTTATCCTCTGCCTTGTTCAAGAAAGATTTGATAGCTTTATCATTTTTGTGGTAAACTGATAATTGAAGGAATTTATTTATGTAATGTATGTATATTTATAGTCAAAGAAAAGAATAGTTATATATCAAAATTGTAACTTTTTACTTCAAAATAGTTTTTTTAGGTATTTGCAAATTACAGTATTATTTGTAAATTACAGCATGATCCTGTGTTATAGCATTAGAGATTAAGTGGTAATTTTGTATTTTAGATCTTGGTAATGTTCTCACTTCTACTTCAAATGCCAAAACTGTGAATGGGAAAGCTGAAAGCAGTGATAGCGGAGCTGAGTCTGAGGAAGAAGAGGCCCAAGAAGAAGTGAAAGGAGCAGAACACAGTGATGATGGTAATCTTTGAATGATGGGCTAATAGTTGTACATTAAATAAGATAAAAGGACATGGAGAGGTTTGGGCTGATTTGGCATTGTACATGTGTGGTGGCATGTGGACTGTTGACCTTAAAACCACATTTGCTGCAGACCAGAGGGCTCTACTACAGAGTATAGGGGTAGCCAGCCTTATGCTTAGATGGAATAGATGTCAATTGAAGGCTAACAAGAGTAGGCCACTCCTCCAAATATAATACCTGAAATGCTGCATTAGAAATATATTCATTTAAGGTATTGTTCCCAATATGAATATGCATATGTTACCAAGGAGAGGAGACAAGTTAAACTCTCAATATCTTGTCAAGAATAGAATGAATCCAGAGAATACGATACAGGCAGAAGTTTTGATGAAGAGGGAACATTGGAATCATGGGGTACTGCATTAGGGGCCCTTGCTGGTAAGAGTATCAGTGATTCTTGGGAAGGCTGTGTTAGAAAGGGGAGGCAGAAAGACCCTAAAACAAGCTGCACAACTTAATTCTGCCTTCACTTTCCAGTAAGGTGTGGTGAATAATACCTTCTTTGAAAGGTCTTTTTTATTGGCTATTTGGACCCCTTTGTACTGCTGGGTCTCGTAGAACAATTTGCCTGTGCTGAGGGAGTGTAAAGACCTTGGGAGATTATCTCTCAAAAGGGGTTCTAGAAAATTCATAGGCAACTGAAGCAGTTTTGAAACCTATACAGTTTGGGTGAGCTCTCAGCATATAATAAACCCTGTTTCAGGGAGCATCCCCTCTCTCTGATCCAAGTAGGAAACCCTTTGAAGGGAATATGGTAGGTTGGGGAAATGCCTACTTGATATTAGAACAAAGTATATAGAAGTTGACCTACTGTGAACTTTTATGACTCTCTCCATTTTCACATAAAAGATAAGAAAATGATGAAGAAACCCACAGACCATAAGAATTTGGAAATCGTTGTCACTAACGGCTATGATAAAGACAGCTTTGTTGAGGAGGTACAGAATGATATTCCTGCCAGTTCTTCCCTGAATGACAGAAGTGCTGAAGAAGTAAAACCTGTAGATCAAAACTTGGAGCAAACTGGAAAAACTGCTGTCTGCATTCACCAAGGTATTGTCCCATAATAATTATTTGTCCAGCCTCTTTCCTGTGAATAAAGTATTCTCTTAATAATTTTAGAAGATTTAGGAGCAATTGAGAATTTAAAAAACTTCTTATTCAGTAATATCTTAGGGTGTTTTAATATTATAAGGGTTTATATCTTTGAAAGACAGTGAATTAGGGCCAGGGCTTTTATATTTTTATTAAGACATTTCTATTGTGTTTTTATATGGCATTTTAAAACAAAATTTTGAAATTTTTACTTTTGTTCCTGATGTTTCTTTTAACCGAAACTTCTGATTATATGATACCTTTGTTCTCCAATCAGCAAGGTAAGTTATAGTCTTTTCATATCTTAGGGCTCTAGGGGTGAGCCTATAATATAATATGTATTTGGTGAATTATTAACATTGCTGCAATTCAGTCGAGAAACCAAGAAGTATCATTTCTTAATGTAACAAACAAACCTGCCTAGTTGCATCCAAATTTAGGCCTCCTAGCTGGTAGTTAGTTTTCTCTTATAAGGTTATTAAGTTGTGTTAAGGTTTTATCTTGGCTGTGTCTTTGTATAATTCCATGTTAAAATACTTTGTAATCTTTTCAAATAAAAATTATCAACTAAATTTAAAGTTTTGGTTAAGTTAAAAGAAAAAAAGTGTGGCTTGGTAAATTAAATTTGTGTCCCAGTATGAAAATAATACAGAGCTGATAAATTTTGAAAATGGAATAAATGCATTTTTCTTCAATTAGAGAATAATTATTCTTCCTGGATGTTTGTTCATATTTAGATATCAATGATGATCATGTTGAAGATGTTTCAGGAATTCAGCATTTGACGAGTGATTCAGACAGCGAAGTTTACTGTGATTCGATGGAGCAATTCGGACAAGAAGAGGTAAAAATGACATTTTTTAATTGGTAAGTTTTCAAAGTGGTATATCAGAATTCAGTGTCTAACTTCTGTTCATAGCAGGTGTACGTGCTGTTCATCACTTTGAAAACATACCTCTAAAATGTTTAAACATCTATTTTACATTATTTTTTGTGAATTGAAAAGTTTATAAAATTCTTGTATATTCAAAATAATATTTAAATATTATAATTTATAATATACTTACATTTATAAATATTCTGAGAGAGATGGGATGGGGAGGCAGAGGGCAAACTCCTTACGCTAGTCCCTATGTTTGAAACATTGATTAACATTCAAGAAAATTGAATAATTTTCAAACAGATCAGTTCTTCACATTGACTTTAATATGTCAAACTGAAATTTTAAGTGGAAATACTTTTCAAATTTCAGTTAATTAAGATTTAGTATTGGAAGCTAACATTTGGAAAAAAATTATTAAAAATAAGTGAGTTTTTTTGTTCTCTTTGACAACTCTTTCTGATAATGACTAGCATGGTTTTGACAGCCGTATTTATGTTTGGTGTTTTGCATCCTTCCCTCACTCTCTCCCCCTCCTGTTCTAACACAGTTGAAGTTTGTCTTATAGAAAATCATTTATTTTTTGCCTCCCTAAAGTAATGATTTTAACTTTTTCTCTTTGCGTTTCCCTTTTTTTAAATTTCATAATGCAATTAAACTTACCTCCTGGCTTTTTCAGACTTTAAAAACACATAAACAGGGTCTGGCCTGGTGGCATGGTGGTTAAGTTCACGCACTCTGCTTCGGTGGCCCAGGGTTTGCAGGTTTGGATCCCGGGTGTGGACCTACACACCACTTATCAAGCCATGCTGTGACAGGCATCCCACATATTAAGTAGAGGAAGATGGGCACGGATTAGCCCAGGGCCAGTCTTCCTCAGCAAAAAGAGGAGGTTTGGCAACAGATGTTAGCTCAGGGCTAATCTTCCTCACCAAAAAAACCCCCGAAAACAAACAAAAAAACAAAACACATCAACAAAATACTTTTTGACTAAAGTCAAACACAAGTGAGTAGCAGAGATGGGAAGAACAATGGTAAGGAGGTCAAACTGAGAATGAACTGAAATTAGTGAAAAATGAAAAGTGATAAAAATCCAGATTCCCTTTTATTTTCTCTTTTTAATTAAAAAAAATTTTTTTTTTTGGAGAGGAAGATCAGCCCTTAGCTAACATCTGCCAATCCTCCTCTTTTTTTTTGCTGAGGAAGACTGGCCCTGGGCTAACATCCATGCCCATCTTCCTCTACTTTATATGGGACGCCG